TTAAATAAATAATGAAATAATTAATAAATTAATAAAACCAAATAAGGAAAAAATATAAAATATATTTACCATCGGTGAGAGATGAATCATTTCCAATAAAATCTTTTAGATATTTCTCTCGCTCAGTAATTGTTTTATGAATACTGGTGTCTAGAGAATAATATGCTTTATCCCGAAAACTTATTAATTTCTCATTCCATTCAATTTTTTGTGTAGCCATTTCCTATTTAATTTAAAGTTTATATAATTTAAATATTAATTAATGCATAATTTATTGTTTAATAATATTAAAATTTAGTCTAAATTACCGTGATAGGGTTTTTCTATTTATTTAATAACAGATTATAGATAAGGTTTATTATTTAAATTGACTTTAATTATTTTACTAATTATAAAATTGACGAGTACTTTAACCATATGAGTTGTTAAAATAAACGGGACGCATAATAGATAAAGTTAGAGAGTAAGAATTAAACGAATAATCATAATATTTTAAGAATATAGTAAAATATTTTAAATACTTAAATTTTAATTTGCTACCTATCCTACATGCTGCGGCATATAGGCTATTTATATAGCAAAAATTTTCGTCCTAAAAAATATTTTCATTGTCCTCGTTACTATCTTTGATACTTCTGTGTCACAACTAAATTTATTTTAAATATAATTCTATCAAATATTTTACATGCATATGAATATTTACAAATAAAGAGTTATTATTAATCAATTGTCTAAATGTAGGTAATTTTATACCACAAATATAATTTAAAGGATATCGAAGAAGAAATTCGAATTGAAGTAATAATATTAGTGGTAATGGTCGAAAGAAGCCTATACTCGATCTAACTAATAAGAGATAAAATTAAAATAATGAATGAATATAATATAAAGAAGATATGAATGCAAATATTGTTAGATTAATATATCATTCAATAATAATTTTTGCATTATTAGTAGCTGAAGCATGACTTCAATCAGCATTTCTTAATCCTTTTGAGTAAAATATATCCGTAAAGAAAAATTTTACAATACAGCTCTATATAACTGATATGTAATATTTTTAAGATTCCTCACCGGTAAAATTCTCACCCCAAAATCTATAATTACATCACCTTAAAATCAATTTTTATTATCGGTGAATGTATGCATATTACTCGAAAAGGTATAAGAATGAGATGAATTAATGGTATGATCAATGAGCAATGCATACGGTTGTAGACCATTACATTATTACATTCGATAGATGAATAATAATAGTAATTGTTTCTTATTTAAAGTAATAAAAATAGTTTTCCACAAAGTTATATGGAAATTTTCTGGAAATTATTTTATTTTTATTCTGTGAATATTTTCAATTCGTATTATTTTTAATTAATGAAGAATGAACAACGCATATGGCTGTACTGTAGGGTATTGCATTATTACATAATAATTATAAGAATGATTTAATACAAAGTTATATTATTCTGTGAACATTTTCAGCTAATTAATGAAGTAATGATGGGATCCCACAAAGTTATATGGAAATTCTCTGGAAATTCTTTTATTTCATTCCGTGAATATTTTCAACTATATAAATAGATAATATTTTATCGTTGACCCTCCCCCTTTGACAGGTGTAGAAAGTTTTCGTATCAAACCTTGCGAATCTTCCCGTCCCCTGCTATTAGAATATTATAATTGCTCGTTAAAAAATCTTATAAATTGTATAATATTGCACTCGGATTTTTAACGTACTCGTCAAATTTTCAAATTTTTAAATTTTTTGCACATATATCCACGGTTAGTTTTATATTGTATTTTTTATTTTAAATAAATTATTATTATTTACCAATAAATTATATTAATTATTAATTTATTTATTAAATAATATTAAACTTTAAATTAAATAATAAATGACTACTCAAGAAATTAGATGGAATGTGAAATTAAAAAGTATTTGGGATAAGATGCTCTTTACTTGTGATATTAATATTTATCGAATAATTACTGATCAGGAAGAATATCGAAAAAAAAAATGATTAAAATTGAATGAAAAGAATTTTTTACTTTTTGAACTGCGGAAATCATCGAACTTAGAATTAGTAATTCTGAGAAAAAGAAAAACCATGTAACAATTGTCAGAATTGGCATCAAGCAACCCGATAATGTGAACTTTGTATTTGTAAATATTTGTAAAATAATTTTAAAAATTGGAAATCTGGAAATAATGAAATTGATAAATTAATTCAAGAATCTCAGCAAAAAACCATAGCGCCTAATGGCGTAATTGAATAGATTGAATATAATCAATTTGTGAATATCAGACATCTAGCAAATGGAGGATGCAATACCATTTATTCAGCAATTTGGAAATATGGGTCCTATGAGAAATGGAATTTTGAAAAACAGACATTGGAAAGAGCTAGAAGACATAAGATTGCTTTGAAAAGGTTGAATAACTCAAATAATAATAATGTGCATTGGTTTCAAGAAGTAAGTTAAATTTATTATTACATTCTGTTTAAAATAGTTCAGAAATATTGATTATATAAAAAATTGATAGGTAACATTAAGTTTCACACTTGATAAAACTTCAGCATTTCTTGTTAAATGTTACGGGATCCAACCACCCAAGAATATGCGTTAGTTGTAAATTACATTTTTTAGAATATAATCGCCAATCACTTATGTTATTAGAAAAATATAAAATTATTTATTTGATTGCAAACAACTTCAATAACATTAATAGAAAATATATTATACATAGAGATTTTCACTCCGGAAATATTCTTTATTCAGCATCAATTTCTTCTTGGTATATTAGTGATTTAGGATTTAGTGGATCAGTTAATAAACCATTAAATAGTGTCTATGGAAATCTTCGATACACTTCACCTGAACTTATATGAAATAAAAAAGATTATACAACAAAATCAGATGTGTATAGTCTAGGTATTATAATGTGGGAAGTGATTACTGGTGGTGAGACTCCCTTTAGTGATTATGAATACCATTCTGATCGTGATTTGGCTCTTGCAATAATTAATGGACGTCTACCTAAAATTTATGAAGATATTCCGTTCAAATATGCAACTTTAATGAAATTATGTTGAAATGCTATTCCGAATAATCGACCTGATGCTTATCTAATTAGAAATGAATTAATTCGGACTTAATCAAGAACCGATTATTAAATCTAAACAGTTCAAAATCAAAAATTTCCCGATCAGGTTTAACACGATATAAAGTAAATACTCCAAATCAATCTAAATTTTTATCTTTATCGAAGAAATCTCCAACTAAATCCATATTAATATAATATTTATGAAAGTAAACAATTCGATTTTGTATTTCGTATCGTATACAAATTGATATTTTTTTTTGAAAAAAATAATTTAATCCATTGTATTATAATTAACAAATTTAAATTTTTTTTTTTAGGTTTATCAAAATTTAAATATTTAGATTTATATTCTGAACAAATTGAATTAAGAATAGATTATGAAGGTAAAAATTCTTTTTATTTACTATTAAATGAATTATTATTATTATTATTTATCTGATATGCTAATATGCTTATTGTATAATATAGAAATTGAAAACATTGAAATTAATAATTCATAAAAATCTCGTGATCGTGGTAATTATTAAAAAATGTTTTTTTTTTTTTTTGCAAAAATTTAATTAAACATAATATCGGGTGTATATTTTTAAATATTTAACTTTAGATTTGAACAATTTGATTTAGAAACCACTGAAGACCTTTCCAAAATTTTTTTTTTTTTAAAAAAAAAAAATAGTAGCTAAACTATTGGAAAGCAAAATCTAAAATAAAATATTTTTTTGAGTGGGATTTGAATGAATCATTAAATTGTTTTTTTTTAATAACTATTCAAAATATATATATATATATATATAAATATATAAATAAATAAAATTTTGTAAATAATAATGTTTTTGATAAAGTTTTTAATAAAGTTTTATACCAGAAAATTCTTTATGACTTTTAAATTAAATCAAAAGTTATAATAACGTCTATATGAAAAAAAAATTTTTTTTTTTATATATATACAATACCAAAGAAGAGGAAAAGAGAAATGTTCAATGAGAAGTATAAAAACCTAATTTTGTTTGAATAATTATTATTTATGATTAAGAAAGTGAATAAAAAAAAGTGAAAAAGAAATGGAGATAAAAAAAAAAAAGTGCATGAAAAGAAGTGAATGAGAAATGATCATGGAGAAATGTAAAAAAAAAATAATAAAATAAAATAAAATTCCCGAAATCATTCGCTCATTTTTTTTTTTTTATCCTAATAAAGGAGCACCTTCTTCCATTCTTTGACGCATCCGTTTTCTTAAATAAGTTGAAAAAATACCAATAGTATTCATTATCGCCAGAATTATGGAGGACCAATAAATAATTTCCACCTCACTTTGTTGAATAGCAATTCCATACAAAACTATCGTTATAACACTGGCGGCAATTAAATCTTGATAAATTCTTTGATAAAATATTGTTATCACATTTAAAATTATTAAACTGATTACTCCCAAAACTATAATATAAGTTTCAATATCTTGATTTTCATCTCCTTTATCAGGTTTATCAGGAAGAAATGCGGCAAATGTATTTATTATTACAATTATTAAAATCCAAGGTTGATAAAGATTAAATGGTAGATGAATGAATACCGCATCAAAACGATTTTGAGGAGGATAATTAACTTTTAAGTTATGATAAATAAAACTAAGTTGATATGCTACAATTAGAATCGTAATCAATGCTAACCCCAATCGTTCGGTGACCTTTATTTATTTTTTTGAAAGAATGAGAAAAAAAAAATATGAAATATGTTGATTAGTTTTTACAATGATTAAGAATACGATAAGAATACGATAGATAGTTATTAAAATAAATAAATAAATATTTACCACAAGCATTAACCATATGACATTTAATATTGCAACACAAACAAATCGCCAACTAATTCCCTTAACAATTATGTCGTTGGCAGTATCAATAAATTGGTAGACAACTAAATTACAATATATTTTTTTAAAATTAGTTTATTTTAATGTTTCAATTTTTTTTAATTTTTTTTTTTTTAAATAAATAAACACTTACGGAATATACTTAATAACCAATGAATTAAATTCCAAATATAAAAGACATAAGAATATGGGAGTATAATAATATCATGATTTTCAAATCGAAATTCCTGTTTTTTTTTATAAAAAAAAATTACGTAATCACAATGAGAAAAAATAGCGAGAAAAAACTAAAATAATGTCAAATAAAATGAATCTTTGTTTTTTTTTTTTTTTTAGTGAAATAAACATACTGGTTCGGTAACAAAAACCGCTAGGAAAAGATATGCGACCAAGTTTAATATTTTAATTAAAGTCGGATAGTACGACATTATTACAAAGAAAAAGAAAAAAGATTTATATTATATACAATAAAACAAGAAGAAATTATGATGTAGTTTAAAAAAGAAAATATATAATTATGATATAAAGGAACTATGATAAAAAGAAGAAGAAGAAAATAATATGAAGGTGAAAAAGAAAATAATAATCATAAGATGAAGAAGAAAAAAAATAATATGATTGAAAAGAAAGAAAAAAAAATTAATAATGAAGATGAAATTTATCTAAGAGGGGTGAAGAAAACGATTTATAGATTTTAAAAGTGCCACCAAAAATATCAAAATATATATAAATAATAACATTATATATATGCACCAACAACTTTTTTTAACGATAATCAACACCACTCATAAAATCTCTTTCCTTTTTTAAAATTGATATATATATAGTCGGATAGAATCGTAAAATTCATTATATTTCTTTTCTTTTAAAAACAAAAAAAAACCTATAAGATTACTTTTTAAGGGAATTCGTATTCCAATAAATTTGTTCTTACTATTAATTTTTTATTATTATTTAAAAAAAATTCCAGTTTTTTCAATTGATTAACGTCATACGAAACTTAACGTTGAAGCCAATACAACTTAAAATATGCATAAATCATACATAGAGATGCATAAAATATCTAAATTTACTAATTATGTGGTTATAAGAAAATCCACTTCATTGGTGCTAAAGTAAAGAAAGTTTTAATTTTAATTAATAGTTGTGAAAATCATTCACCAGTCAATGGAAGAATCGTGTGGTGTCTAAATATAGAATAGAAGAAGTAAATATATAATGCACTATTCATTGATGTAAATTTTTTCCTTGTCTAAATATTTTTTAATTTGGACTTGTAATATTCTTATTATTTAAGACGGGATTGGTTTTATTGTCGTTACCCTTCTTTCAAGTCAAAAGATAGAATTGGGCGGTGGTGTAAAAATAAAAAGATTGAATAGTGAATTTTTTATCATTAATGATATGTATTATATAACAATGATATGCATTGAACATTGATTAACATGCTGCAACATTAGATACACGGGGTTAACTAGGTTAATGAAAAATATTCTTATAGACCATGTTGTACAGTATCCACCCTTAATTGCGAAACAAAGTCGAAACCATCGAGTCAACATTTCTTGACGTAACGTATTTAAAAAAATATATATATACATATAGAACACATATAATTAGAAATACTATCGAAAATTCTTTAACTATTCTCTCTTTCTTAATGTTATTATATGCAACGTGAAAAAAAATTAATATCCAAACTAAGTTAAATATCCGAAAATAGTTAAAACAAAATTTAAAAATAAATTGTTTAGGGATTCATTTTAAAAAAAATATGTCAAAATACAATATAAATATTTGTTATTAAAGAGTATTCAAAAAAAATTTGAAAAAATCAAAAAATCAAAAAATAAAAAAACAAAAAAAAAAAAAAAAACCACAAAAAATTCTCCTCAAATCAGTTTTATGTGCGAAAATGGGAAGATTAAGATGTGTTGGGGTGATTTTTTTTTGACCATGCCATAAATATTTTTTAGCATCTGAGAACAGATGTTCGTACCGTTCACGTGCATTACGGAAAAGATTATTTGGTTTGCGGCAAAGATTTATTTGTTTTTTTTTTTCGCCACTCAATATATATAACAGGAATAAAAGATTATTATATAAAGATTATTGAAATGTAATGTTTTTTTTTTCACAAAAATTTGTTTCACACAAATTACACATTGAGCCACATTATATATATCCAAACAACCAAAAAAAATAAAAACTAAAAAAAACAATGCAAGCATGGCTTGGATTTGTTATATCCGAAATTACTTGGTTTACTTGGTTACAAACTTGTTTCCCTTTAAAAAAAAAAAAAAGATTCCTATTTTTGATAAGCCATTGAATCTACAAATAATTACCAAATAATTAATAATTTTGCTTCTGGTATAAACAAGAGGCGTTAACTTTAAGGATATTATTTATTTATTTATTTATTTTCAGCCAACCACCGGGAAAGTTAGTGTATTAAAAATAAAAAATAAATAATATGAAATAAATAAATAATAAATAAAAGAGAAAAAAGTTATTTTTCACGCGGGTGAATTTCTCAGTGGCACTGTTGAACCAAAAACTACTTTACTTTTAAAAATGTAAATAATATTTAATTTTATTAATTTTATTATTAAAATCTATTTTTAAGCCTTTAATTAAAGTTATTCCAAATTGAATTTTGCATATATTTGTAAGATTTTTAATGTAATTATAAACTAGTTAGGATATGGACAACGCGGGACGCGGACATGGGGACAGTAAAAAAAAAAAAAAAAAACTAAATCCCCTATTATTTTTTTCGAACTTGGTTTTGTTTTGGGGTTAGGAAACTTTATTTGTCACACATGATTTTCACCGGTAAATTCTTTTGTTAATCACATGAAAGTTATCTTACTCGAGGAGCAAAGATTTGATCTTCACCCAGGTGAAGAATAAAAAGATAGATATATATCATTGTACTTCATTATAATATATTTTTTTAATCGTTATCCCTTTCTCACTTTATATATTATTTGTGAAAAAAAATGACGAAAAAGAAGAATAATAATTCTAATTCCACACCAATTCCAACGTGGCAAAAGGGCGAAAATGAATTACCTGAAAAGAAAAGAATATGGCTAAGGGTTGCTTCTTACATTATTGAACGACAAATTGGTAAATATTAGTTATTTATTAAATTTTTTTATGTACATATATATACATATATATGCATTATATTACTCTTTTTTTTTCCCGCTTCCGAGATATCTAATATATATTATTTTTCTTTTTTTATATATATATATATATATATCGGCACGTTTTTTTTTTTTTTCATCACAATATTCATCTATCAATAATTTTAATGGATTCAATGAAATGATGATAAATTGATGATGGATTAATGATTTTTTAATCGAATTTGAATAAAATAAATTATTTTTTTTAAAATAATTTCAAAATAATAAATTTCAAATAAATCATTTCATCATCATCATCATTAAAAATAGAAATACCTTTAAAGATCATATCCGCAGTTTTCCTTTCATATATCGTATCACCTACTTCATTTAATCCATTCTCGAAATTCTTATTCATTTCATATCCAATACAATTAAATAATCATTCGATTCCTGGGGATGAGGATGATTATGATGATGATGGAGGAATGATGTCATCTGTAGTTTATGGAAAGGGATATTGGGATTTCGCTTTCATCGCTTTTTGGGTGATAATTTTCACTTTGACTCGAGAATTCATAATGAAATATATATTAAAACCATTCGGTATATGGGCAGGTATTAGAAAACCAAGGAGGGTGACTAGATTTATGGAACAAGGTTATGTTGTAATATATTGTACTATATCGTGTACAATTGGTTTAGTAAGTATTATTATTATTATTATTATTATTATTATTATTATTATTATTAAAGAACGTGGTTACAAATATTATATATATATATTTTATTTTATTTTATTTAATTTTTTTTATTAATGTTATTATTATTATTATATTATTATTATAGAAAATCATGAGAGATAGTCCTTGTTGGTTTTATGAAACGAAGCACTTTTGGATCGATTATCCCCATTATTTACTTACACCACTTGTAAAATCTTATTACCTCATTCAATTCGCTTTCTGGCTTCAACAAATATTAGTATTAATACTTCAACTTGAGAAACCTCGAAAAGATTTTCTTGAATTGGTGGCTCATCACATAATAACATGTTTATTAATTAGTGGGAGTTATTTATTCAATTTGACACGAATTGGAAATGCCGTATTTGTGTCGATGGATTTCTCGGATATTTGGCTTGCGGTGAGTAATTAACCGTATTTAATCAAAAAAATAACGTGGCCTGGAGAGTGAGAGAGGGGGAAAGAAAGGAAAGGAAAGGAAGGGAAAAGAAAGAAGTTGTTTGAAACACAAGTATTGTGGCCTTAATTTTTTTGTAAATGAAGCCAATCAATTTGTGATCTCGAACCTTTTCCATAACTTATCACATAATAATCATTTTTGCTGATTTATTTTTTAACATTATCTACATTATTTTATATTTTTCCCTGTCACCTTATTGTTCTTATGTCACCTTTATAATATCTTACTGAATTCTTCGTGTCACCCACCTCATTGAATTCTCTCTGTCACCGTTACCTCACAAAAAAAAAAAAAAAAAAATGGGTAGCTTGCGAAAAGTATGAAATATATGAAATTTCCAGAAAGAGTTACAGATGTGATGTTTGTATTTTTTATGATGACATGGGCTTATACGAGACATTATTTATATGGATGGATTATGTATTCCACATATTTTGAATCATGTGCACCCGAAAATAATGAATGTATTTGGGATCCTTTAAGAGGTTATTGGGTTACCTGGTGGACAAAATATATTATTTTATTAGGATTAACTTTATTACAAATCCTTATGATTTATTGGTTCTGCCTCATTTTACGAATTGCGTATAGAGTTGTTTCTGGAAAGAATGCCGAAGATACTAGAAGTGATACCGAAGAGTGAGTAATTTTACATCATTTATATCATATATTCTATTTACATACTCTATATATTCTATTTATATATTTTATTTATATTTTCTATTTATATCTTCCATTCATATATTCTATTCATATATTCTATTTGTATATTCCATTTATACTAACGCATTTTAATTTTTTATTTTATATCTTAAAGTGATGATACTTGTATTTCACCAGAAAATCCTACCAACACTAAAAAAACTGATTAGATTAAATTTTTTTATTTTAATTAATTTAAAATTCGAATTATTTTTTTTGGGGGGGGCGGGTGGTAAATAATAATAATATAATAATAATATAATCATAATATTAATTATTTCAAAAATCATTATTGAGACTATTTTTTTTTTTCCTTTCTTTATTTATTTTTTATTTTATTTTATTTTGTAATTAATCTTTTACTAGACGAGAAGAATTGATTGTAAAATATATATAAAAAAATATTTATTTATTATCCTTTCTTTTATACTAAAAAAAAAACCCCAATAACAAATATATATTTATATATATAAGATATATTACAAACAAAATGATCTACATTTTTCAAATATAAAATACACATATGTATATTCAATAAATGAAAAAGTATAATACTATATTTTTAACGTATACATAAACATAACAGAAGATGCATAAACATAATAGAAGATGATAATTAAAAATAAAAGGGGAGAGAATGAATACTTGATACAGATACATAGATTATTTCATATATATACATACCCACCCACCCATTGACCTTATTCATTATTTACAAAGATCAAATCTAATCTAATCTAATCGAATCTAATCAAAAAAGAAGAAGAAATTGTCACAAACTTCGTTAAACTCTTTCCCTCAAAAATAATAACATAATAAAAACTAAATACAAAATACAATAATTTTTATAATCTTAACTATAAATGATAATTTTTATAATCTTAACTCTAAACGATCATTAGTATGTCAAAATTCTTCCAGGTCTTTTATGGAGTGGGGTTCATTATTGTTATTGTACTACTGACTGATATTGTTATTATTTTATTATTATCATTTTTGATATTATTATCATTATCGTTATTATTATCGTTAGTTTGTTAGTCGCTGTCATTGTCGTTATTGTCGTCATTGTTGTTGTTATTAAACTTTTCACTCTTTTCAACCTTCTCCATATTGAACATTAATTCTTTCTCATCATCAAACCATTCTTCCGGTATGACCATCAATTGTCTTCCCAGTGTACCAAAACATATTGATGATGAATATAGAATACACTATTTTTGATAAATGATTTAATAAATGAATTACATAAATAAATGAATAAATAAATAAATAAATGAATTAATAAATAAATAAATGAAATAAATAAATATAAATAAAAAAAATAACGAATAAATTATTCTCTCAATTAATTATAATAATAATAACATACCGGCATCCACGAACGTATACCGAAAAAGTCAGCATGTGTAATACTACAAACAAATGAAATAAAATGTATATTTTAATATCATCGTCATCATCATCATCATCATCATCATTAATAAAATCTTTTTTACCTATAAATTCCATTTAATATAAGTGTATACATGACACCAGTTCCAATAAAAGCAAACAAGACTGACATAATGAATCCATGTAATGTTCGATCAAATAAAAACCATAAAACTATTGAGATTAGTGTCAATGTACAAGAAACTTGATAATGGTTATTAGGTAATTTCTATTATATTTAATTATTTTTTTTTTTTTTTTAATATAAAATCAAATTTAATTAATTAATTAATTTTAAATTATTAATAATCTTTATAATATAATATATTTATGTAGTATAATGATGATGATATGATAAAATATTAAATATTTACCGTTGCAGCATAAGCAATTCCAATAAATCCACCTAAACACCTCACAACGTTACTCCATTCTCTTTGAAATTCTTGAGGTTTCCTTTTAAGCCAATAATCGGCTACTGGAAATAAGGTACCAACTAATATTGCGGATAAACCACACGTTGGAGGAATCCAAGCTGCTGTATCAATTAATTTTGCAATGTTCTCAGGATATTCGGTTATACGATTTTGAGTGAGTAGGTGATCAATCACAAAAGAAGTGAGTGAACCTAATAGAAATAAAGTTAAAAGACGTGGAGAATAATAACTTAACCACCACCTCCACCACCACCAAGACGTTGTTGAATATTGATTTTGTTGTTGTTGTTGTAGATATCGATATTGTTGTTGTTGGTGGTGTTGTAGTTGTTTATTGGTTTGTGCTGCGAATTTTGTCAGTCGTGGTACAGTAGTAGTACTCATTCTGGAGTAGTAATAGTTTCTTGAACAAAATTTATTTTTCGAAATATTAAGCTTTTTAGGATTATTTTGTTTTTGATATTTTTCTAACGGTTTCCCATAAATATTAATTGATGAATTATTGTTCCCACAATTTTTCTTATTTCTGGTTTGCCTAGACTTTTTGAGAATACGTATTAATTTTGTACCCTTGGAAGGTCGCACTACTTTAGCAATTGGATTTGGATAATATTTATTATTATTATTATTATTATAATTATTATTATTATAATTATTATTATTTTTATTTTTCTTATTTTTATTTTTATTATAATAATTTATGTTATTTATATTTTGATTAAAAGAAACTGCTTTAATTAATGATTCAATTGAAATAGAAAATGTATCTGTATCAATAAAAGAAAGCGATGTTTGTAATTGTGTCTGTGATGGTGATGGTGATGGTGTCTGTGGTGGTGTTGGTAATTGTGGTAAATTTTGTACAGTATTTTCATCTGAAAAATTATGTAATTGCGACATAGAAGTTGACATATTGAATTTCTTATATATTATTAAATATTTATTTCTTATATTTTCTTTATGTTATATTGTTGAACAAATTGGGATATCTTGCAGAGCAATACTTTTATAAGGTAAGTGATGATGAAAATGATGAACAGATAAGAATTAGTCAAATCTTACTCTCACACTCCGTCAAAAAAAAAAAAATGGTTTTCTGAAATTTTTTTTTTAAAAAAAAAATAATGAATTTATATATATTTTATAAATGTTTGGCTGATCGGCATATCATACTTTTTTTATATTTAATATAAATTATTACATTTAAAACATTTCTTTTAAAAAAAATAAAAAAATACAAGCAAATGAGAAAATGAGAAATGAATGCCATAAACATTCAATAATACAACATTCAATGTATACATTTCAATGTGTATCTCATTCAAATATAACATTCAATTGCGCACAAATGTTGTTATTTTGGATTGACGCGAATTGGTAAAGACTTTTTACGATAATACTTTATTAGATAATAAAATAATCTGATTACATAATTTAGATCTTTATTATTTTATTTTGGTTACTGTGTGCTTATTTTATTTAATTTATTTATCCAATCGACTATATAAATTATCTTGGAAAAATTTCTTCTTGGACATAATGATATAATGAGATATTATGGTAATGAATATAATGATAATTACATAAATAGAAAATAATTATAAATCATCAAAAAAAAAATATTAAAAGAACAAATCACTAACCAATAAATCGTCCATTTTACCCAAAATATTTATTCATTGTGATTGGGTTAATTAAAATATCGTACGATATTTTTTTCACGTACGATATTTTTTAATTTACATATTTTCATACGATATTTTATTTAAATTCTTTGTTTGTGACTTTTTTTTTTTTTGCTTTATGACGATCATGAAAAAAGGAGATCACGCCATGAAATGGCCTGATGTTTCTCTCAACCATTCAAAATCTAATCTAATAATAATAATTATTATTAATAATCGCTTGTAATTGTTTATTGTTATTGTTTCTCTTTTAAAATAGGTCATAATAATAATAATAATATATATATATATGTCTCACCTTTAGCTGTTATGATCAAATCATGTGCGTGTTTAAAGGGTTATGAGAGAAAAGAAAAAAGAAAAAAAGAATAAAAATCGTGACTCAGGAACAAATTATTATTATTATCACGTGTAAGAATGAAAAAATTTTTTACTATAAATAAAAATAAATAATTAGTAAATAATCGAATGTTTCCTTGAAAACCAAATAAATAATTACGAATCGGTACATTTATTTGCATTTATTACCTAAGCATTTATCTTATAAACAATGATAAATTATTAAAACTATGAAATTTGTATATTCAACGTGGTGCAGTAAAAGTATTATTTTTTTTTATTCCCATATACATTATATAAAATGAACATATTATTCAAAGCGTTTAATTTGTTTCAATGACTTTTTTTTTTGTTAAAGAGAGATACTTTCCCCCTCCTCCCATTTATTTATTTTATTTTATATTATTTTTTTTTTAAAAAAAAAATAAAATACATATACTAAATATTTAATTTCTCAGTGATTTGAACTTTAAATTGAGGTTCATTTTAAGGTCATTTGTCATCATTCACACCTTCCATGCCGTAATTCAGACGGCACAGCATTTGAAATCGTAAGACGTAAAGCCGTAAAGCCGTAAATCAATTTGCAAAACAGCACAATATAAATGATAATATAGATAATAATATGGTTAGGAAGGAGGAAACAGAAATTGATTTTGGTTTTTATATATGAAAACACATTGTAAACTCCATTAGTTTAAGTAATAATAAATTGTTATTTGTTTTATAGAAGGATTTACTACGATAGCCGTAATACAAAGTCATATAAGAATTTTGATTATATGCACACTGTCAAAAAAAAATAATTAGGTATAACCATAGATCTATCGATCAATGTGTAATTTATTTTGTCAGACTTCATGTGACATTTGATCTACAAATTTGTAATATGAAATATTCTACAAAAGATGGATTATTATTTTGAGATTTGGGGTTTTTACTTTTTGAACATCGAGCAAAACTAAAGAAAATAAAAATATGACAATAATGATTGCCTTTATGGTATTCTCACTTCTGTTAATGTAAATTTATTTTTATTTGATTTTTTTTTCCGTGAAAACGAGCGAGATCTGAAGTTTATCTTTTTTTTTTATTATTTATTGTAGATCGAGGGTAACTTTATAACCAAAGACGAGTTTTCATCATTGAATATCTAAAGCTTTATGTACAAGTACAAAAAAGGGGGGTTTAATCATAATTGTTGGTTTGTTAAAAGACAAAAATATGTGCAATTGAAATTCTGGCAAGTAAGAGAAAAATGGAATAATGTTACTCTGAGATTTCAAAACGGTAAGGTAATACTTTATTATTTTTATTTTTTAGTCTCTCCGTGCCACCATTCCATTTTTTATATATTGTATGTATATTGATTTCAATTCTATCTCATTTAGCTGATTCTGAAATAATTAAACTGGATATGTCTAATTTTTAAAGTTTCGAAATGAAATCAACATTAAATATAGGAAGATTATTACTATTTTTAATTATTTCTTTTTTTTTTTAAAAAAAAAAAAAAATGAACAAATAAAACGAAAGGCGTACGTACAAAAATTTTTTCATTTCATTTACAGATTAACAGTGGGTTTAGAATTTTTTTTAATTATTAATTATTATTGTCTTTATTAAATAATGATTTCTATTCTACTTTGATAATATATTTTTTTTTAAATACTCATGATGTGGCAGCAATATCTTGATAAAATAAATCTGTTTTCATGAATTTTAAATATATAAAATAACTAATAAGGGGTCCTTATTAAGGACAAAAAAAATATAAAAATATAATATATAAATTAAAAATTATTTTTGTCTGTTTTTTTTAAAAATAAAAATAATTTTAAAGACAAAATAAAGTTATAAGAATAAATAAATTTCGAAGTGAGCCTTAATTTGAAGGACCAGCAGCTCCATATTTTTGATCATCTAAAATTAAAAAATAAAAATAAAAATAATTAAATTATACAAACACATCACGTAATGAATAATACTACAATGGAATTATGTTAATTACCTCGTGATTTATTTGAGATATTCTTGTTGCATTTCTATAATTGCATCATAAAAATAAACTCATTAAGCTTCTATGAATAAATATTATTAAAAAAATAAAAATAATTTTACCTACGGTAATTTCAAATTCCAATTGTTTAGAATCAAATGCTAAATATTTAAATATGTATATAATATTGTTGTTTGTCTATAAAAATGAATGATGATTTAAAATAATTAAATATAATTAAATATAATAAAATAATAAAAAATAAAAATGATAAGAAAAAAAGATATATTTACCATCAGTGGCATTTCTCGGTTGAATTGTGATATTGAATGTATATACTTTACTATTTTGTATTCTATTTATTTTGCTTTTCGTATTTTTATTTAATTGCGTATTTATGATTACTTGATTATTTTTATCTTTTTTTTTGATTTTAATTTAAAGAAATTTTTGATTTTTGATTTTAATTGAATACTTGGTTTTTGTTGTTTATCCACTTCATTATATAATGACTTTAAAAATGAAATTATTTTATTCCGAATTGTATATGCAACAGGTCTATTATCAGGATTAGCATCCCAACATTGTTTCATTAAAGTCACATATTCTTGTGGAATATATTCATAAATCTTTGGTCGACATCCTTTGACTATATCAAGAGTTAATTCCAAATCAGGTTCATAATTATCAAATGGAGTTTCACCAGTTATTACTTCCACATTAATATGCCAACACTATATATATCTGATTTTGTTGTATAAATTTTACCGCAGATAACTTCGGGAGCAAATGTATGGGAGATTCCCATAAATACTATTTGGCGGTGGTTTGTCAACTGGCCCACTAAATCCTAAATCAGTAATCCTCCTGAGAATATCTCGTGAATTATACAAGATATTTCCTGAGTGCAGATCTCTATGTACTATATTATAAACCATACTATATTTTTGTAATAATGTAAGCGAGTGATAATTATCTATTAAAAAATGTCTTAAATCCTTGTCGTAACGATTTAAAAAAAACATATAATCTTGAGTACTTGGATCTTTGGTTATTCCATAACATTAAGCAAGAAATGTAGAAGTATTATCAAGTGTGAAACTTAATATCACCTGATAATTTTTTGTAATATGTCATTAATATTTCTGAAACCAACAAAAAATAATAAATTCAATAATAATTTAACTTACTTCTTGAAACCAATGAACATTATTATTATTTGAATTATTCGATTTTTTCAAAACAATCTTTTGTCCTCCAAATCTTTCCAATATTTGTCTTTCAGAATTCCATTTATCATAGGACCCATCTTTCCAAATTGCTGTGTAAATGGTAGCACATCCTCCTTCTGTCAGGTGTTC